TAACGCGAAAGTTTTACGTGAAGATAGAGTCTTTGTCTGAATTTTGCACTTTAACAAATTCTAGAACAAACTCGTCTCTAAACCACTTCACGGACCCTCGACACGCACCTCGCGATTATACACCGAAGAGTGTCGCAACTCGCACCTCTCGGAGAAGACCAGAGTGGGCCTAGTCCGAAATTGTTTATGTTGCATTGATATGCGACTAACGAATTAGGCTGCGAGGCCAATGCGTAAGAGACCGTGATTCGTTAATTAGGTGGTGATGGTGGGTGCATGTGTTCCTCCCTTGTCCAGCTCTTATCTTCCTCTCTTTCTATACATATAGTTCTTTCCTTTACTCTTGAGCTATGGATTGTAAATTAGCTATTGAATAATTTTACATACATAACTAATACAATATAAAGTGTTAATCTGTACACATTATAAAAATTTAGAATGAAACATTATCTATTTCGTTTTACAATTATTAAAGTTAAATCGCGCTCGGTACTGTAACTATTGTGGAACTGATTGACGTGTGCGTATTCATAATAACGGTATAAAGAAATACTATGGGTAATTTATATAATTTTGTACTGTTACAAAGACAATTTCTATTACAATTTTATATTGCGTCGCGGGCCCTTGAGGAACATTCTAGAACGCTTGGCGTTATCGGACCACACGAGTGTGACTTCTGTTTATATTCGGCGGTTCGGAGAAATGAAATGATCTAAGATTTTGGCCGTGGGACCACGTTGATTTCAAGGAAGGAATGTGTTATATTAACAATCTTAGTTTAGTCGCCAAAAGATAGTCTATTTAATAACATAAAAGACCGTTACTGCGTTCGATCAGGGTGTTCCCAGAATGCAATACGCATTATCGATACACATCCGGTCGGTAAGAACGACAAAGGAAATTTTGAAAAATATTCCTGTTCGGAACGTAACACAATTATTAAAATTAAATAATATTTCTTAACATTATTGTCGAAAAATCATCGATTTGATTATTAAATTAGTATTAGTTACAAATCAGATATAATCACAAATCCACTGTGATAGTTAATTAACTATTTTGTTATGTCAAGTATAAGTAATAACTTATTTTCTCTTTGTTGCTAAGTTGTATAATTTATTTAAAAAAACTTCCTTCACAAAAACTTCTTATTTCGATTGAAATTTAAGAGAGCTTGAAGTGCGGTGTTAATACGAAACAGATACATGTATGTACATGAGTAATGATATTACTTAGTGGTAACTGTATCAACACAATCTGAAAATTATGATAAAGGTATAAAAATTATTAAAAACGGTAAGTTGGAAAAATGATGTTTAATGTGGAATACCTAGGAAATTTGATAGAAAACTGCCAAAATTTAATTTTTACTGTAGAAAATAAATATTTATGGAAATAGAAAAGAGAAGTAGACGAATATTCATCATTTTCTTCAAATTGATTGGATCTGGTGTTCATGCGTCAATGCATTCTTTATCCATTATTATCAGTACAATGTACATAGAGTGCTGAAAATTTAGTGCTATGTTACATTAGCAAGAGCATGTATTCTATATGAAACATGTTCCATATCACGCATACTCAATATATTTCATACTATGTATGATACACCTTTCAACGTTAAAATACATCGATCTCCTGATTTACACGGTACTTTACTTACGCTATTTCGCTTTCGCAAGGATTTAGAAAAAAATACCAACACAAGAATAGAATAAAATTATATATTTTTAATTTATTTGTTATGGAATTTTTAATAAATTGTGTACACTTTTTTTATTAAAATGAGAGTAAATATAGTCCCTATATGAAACTCAATCGATTTTATTTGGCTGGTATATTTATTGGTTTAACATATTCCCGACGGGCTGGACCATCCGTGGTACATTTGAGGAAAGAAAATTCAGACTTCGTCGTGAATGCCTTAATTGACGATAATTTGGATTTACATGATTTCTAAGGAACCTATGTTCAATGCAAATCTAGGAATAGACGTAATAAGTATTCTAACAAGGAAACATCGCAAAGCGATACTTTTTCATTTCTACAAAATTGATCTGTAATATAGATTTCAAAAATATAAATACGTGTTTTGTATCGTCGAGGTAAATATGCCGATGGAGGGAGCCAGCTCGGTGACCTTGACCTTGACTTATGTTGTCTAGGTCACCCTCCTGAGTGACCTTCAGAAGGTTTTAGTCGTCGCTCGTTTTTTATTAAAAAGTTATTAACAAAGGAAGTTTGACAAATATAGCAGTTATTTTGGGCGTATCCCGATTGGACACGGCTCGATTGGACACGCACGATTGGACACCGCACAGTCTTCATACACTCACACACTGACATTGGTTAGGGTTGGGTTAGATTTTGCAGGGGGGAGGGGACTATCTTTATAGTACATATATGCGGCGATCGAGTCTTTCCGTCGCATACTCTATGAATCTAGATAGACCATAGTTACATTCTATACGCACTAACACCTACTTCGCGGCGTGCTGTCAAGTTATATGTATAGAAAAAAAAAATAGTTATACAAGCTTTGCCTATGTTCGGCTGTCCAAAGATTGACATGTTCAAGAAAATCTTTTAATTTTGCGCCGCCTCCGAAAAGGTTGAAATGTATTTAATATACTACCTAGCGAGTAAATAGGTTTCATTCATACATGGTATGTCCTGAAAGTAATGTCAGTGACTTTATTGTGACGCGACTTCACGTCGGACCGCGATTTTTTCGGTTAAAATTGGTAGTACGGGAAGTCGGCTAAACAGATCTCCGCTGCTGAAGGTGCTTCGAGCATCAGGAGAGTGAGGACGAGCGTATCCGTGAGAATTGTGTTGTGTCACTGTACAAGTCAAAATGCAGCGCTCGTTAGAACAAAGAATTGCGATCAAGTTTTGCGTGAAACTTGGAAAGACCGCGACGGAAACGGTTGCTATGATCAAGTCAGCTTATAAAAAAGATGCCCTGTCAGATCAGCAAATGTTTCGGTAGCACAAGGCCTTTTTGAAAGGCCGGGAAGAGGTCGACGACGAGGACCATGTGGCGACTGTACCGACAGCGACACATGCGCCCTCTGGACAGTTCCTATTTTTAGTTACTTTTTATTTCTTAGGTTAAATTGTAAAAAGTAGTTGGTAAGACTAGTTTATAAGGAACGCGGCGCGAAAAAGAAGAACGTCGTTCTTCCACTTCTTGTACGAAAGCGAAAGAGTCAGCACGTGCGCGTATTAATAAAAAGTGCAATCCTTGCAAATAGCAAGAAAAGTCGTCGTGCGTCATTTCCTACAACGGGCTCTCCTTCACGAACCTTAGTCCCCACAACCATGCCGGACGGCCATCCACGACCACCACAGCCGACAATGTGACACGAGTGAGGGAATTGTTTAACTCAGACCGACGATTAAGTGTTCGTTTAATGGCCGATATGTTAAATATTCCAAAAACTCAAGTGTATTGCATCGTCACGAACCATATCGGCAGATAACTGGACGTTGCACCACGCTCCGGCCCATACCGCCTTTATCGTCTCCAACTACTTGGTTAAAGCAGGGGTGCCAACGATTCCCCAGCCCCCGTACAGCCCGGTCATAGCTCCCCCCGATCTTTTTTTGTTTCCACGAGTCAAAACACCCATGAAAGGCAAGATTTTCGGGACAGTAGACGGAATCGAAAGAGCTTGTACGGCAGCATTGAAGGAAATTCCGGAGAAGGCCTACAGCAATGCATTCGAGAGCTGGAAGATTCGCTGGAGCCGATGTATTGACGCAGAAGGAGCCTATTTTGAAGATTTTTAATCATTTGTAACGAGCAGTTCAATAAATGATTTTTAATCGACTTACTGACATTACTTTCAGGACATACCATGTATCTGTTACGTAATTGTATGATTGAATGAAATAGAAATTACTTCATTAGGAAATAGAAATTATTTTATACTTTTTAGTGCATTTCGAAGTCGGCGTATTTTATTTCTTAAAATTATTTTATTTGAAGTCGGTTAAAAATCATGATAATTTATTAGCTCGAATGATTCGATTTAGGGGAAAAAGCCTTGCGGCATAAAAAACCCCTTGTAAGATATATATTTGTTCGTGATTGAACGGTGAAAGTGTGAACGATTATGTATACGTTGTTAAGTATGATCGTTAATTGATTTGAGCAGCACAGGGTCTCGCTCAATATTGTTGTGATTCGTGTTATAATCCACATTGCGTAGGACTGTTCACGATGATCTATTCAAGGAGCTTAGGGTCCCACTCGAATAGTGTTATGATATATGTTCTATACCACCCTATATTGGTCTATTCGAGGAGTATAGGGTCCCACTCGAATAATGTTGTGATTGATCTTAGGAACCACTCTGCAATGGTTGTTCTACGTTAGTCTATTCGGGGAATGCAGGGTCTCACGCGAATAGAATTATGATTTTCTTGGAATCCATCCTGCACTGGATATTTTACGTTACTCTACGCAGAACTTCTTCTACTTTCGGTTCGACCCGAACAAGGTGCAACGATCGACTGTCTATTTGATATACAGGCTGTCTCACAATTAGTGTAGGTTTCTGAAATGGGGGTTAGCTGACGCGGTACTGAATAAGATTTCCCTTTGCAAAAATAGGGTGTGAAGCTTCGTTTTGAATTATTAAGAAAAAACAAGAGCCAATCAGAGTGCGGGGATTCACATACAAGCTTCGAGCCTGGCGACGGAGTGCGAGCGCGATCAACTGTCTTTTCCTCGCGACAATATAAACGTCTAATAAGAAGTCCTTATATCGAAACTCAGTTAAATAACGAACAGAATAATTAAAAGTAGTATTCATTTATTCATTCTTTGTGAATACATAATAAGCAAATTTGAATCAGACTCACCTATTGTTTAAAAATAGTCCTGTTCCAGTAAAATTGTGATCTCGTGACTTGATCGATCTTGATCTTCCATAAAAACACGCACTGCACAATATCTGATGTCACAGCTTGGTCAATAAACTCATTTCACTTCACTGTAACTTTTAATTGTCATTTTTAATTGTAATATTCTGCTGCCACTGTTCACTAATTTCCTAATGAAATGACCACAGATAAAAAACTCGAATGAAAACGCGTGAACGATTATTCATAAATAATTTTAGCGACTTTTTATTTTCTCTTTGATGTTGAATACTCGACGTTCTAAACTGCCGAATGAAACGCGATGAACATCTTCGACGGAAAATTTAGACAATGGTCCCTTGCAACAAGGACGTTTGACACGGAAATGAAAGTGAGAATATGCTTTTCTTTAGAAAAAGACGAAAACCGTTTTCTGCCTATTAGAAAGGGAAAGGGACAACGGTTTTCTTAAATACCTACGAAGTGACCGTCCAGGAAGCAAAACGGAGCCGTTTAATTATTTTATGATTCTTTGAGTGGACGGTCCAAACAGATGAAGATGTTGTCCAGAACTCTCGTTTTCTCTAGGCGCGAAACATTTGGAGTCACAATCGGCACTTTAGGACAGAACGTTCGAAGCGAAACGTTAAAGAGAAAAAATCACAAAAGTTATTTTCGGATAATCGTTCACGCGTTTCTCCTTGTTTATCCATCATTATTATGTTAGGAAATTAGTGAAAAGTGGCAAAAAAATATTACAGTGAAAAGTGATAATAAAAAATGATAGCGAGGTGAAATTGTGTATTATTTTTACAAATAGTAACGATCGATAGAACAATCTAGTTACGAGGATCCATTTTGAATCAAGCAGGACTATTTTTAAACAATTGATGAGTCTTA